GATTAAAATATTAATTATAATATAAATACAATAAAATAACTATATAAAATTAGTAAGTTTAATAGTTTTTTTAAAAGAAGTAATCTATACTATATTTGATCCAGTTTAGAGTATCAGACTTATGTGATTTCAAGAATTTCCTTTGTTTGAATAATAATAAGTCTGGACACCATAATTGAAGTATATTTATTGATGCATAATTAATAATTATAATATTACCAATTATATGTACAGTATGAGATATTTAAATACTAAACACAGTGTTATTAATATCACTATTTAGATTTTTGAACTATGGTTATTGACCTAGTTCAAGTTGAGTCATAAGATATCAGATTAGTTAAATAACTTCAATGTTCAACAATATGCATAGTTCTATAAATATAAACTCATCTTATTAGTTTAGAATCATACAATTACATATTTTAGATATCTGCGCATTCAATTGTATTGACTCGGTTAATGGATTAAATAACCGATTCATTAGTTCAAATAGTTAATTAACATTGTTTTAGTTAAATTAACAATACTGACTAAACACGAATATATGTATCTTATTGATTAGCATTTTTTAAATAGATTTGTAAAGTCCAATGATATCTATTGATATATTTATGCACTGTGATTTTGACTAATTTATTTACCTTTTTGTTTCAGTTTATATAAAAATATATTATAACAAAGTATTTTAAGAATTTTATTTTTGTTAATTATTCATAAACAGCAACTAGAATACGAGATATGTTGTATTCCGCATAATAGTGGAAGAGGACCTGAATTAAGAAGAAGAATCAGTAGCATAATAAAAAAAAAGATCACTTAACATTTATCGCACTTGGTAGGTTTCGCATTCGAAATTGATCTTGTGATCACGTGTACTATTGAGGTTTAATAATAATTTGGGATCAGTTGAAAGGCAATTATATAATTAAGGGCACTTTAAGCAAAAACTCAGTTCTTTCTCTGAGCAGATAATGTGTCGAATCAGGTATATACATACATATTTACATAATTGTCTAATTATTTTTTTGCATATTATAATTGATCTTTTGGTCTATGAAACAACCCATGAAATACTCATGAGCAATCCATGAAAGCACAAATAGTCAAACAATTGATATCTGCTTAGGGAGAGGTTTGAATTAGAGTGTCCAAGTACTGCTGCTCTAACTGGAAAATTCTACTGCAATTATTATTAAATCAGCAAATTCTGCAGTGACGTATAAATAATACTTTAAAAAATAATATTACAACAAAAAGAAAATTCCAATTTGATTACAATAGACTATATTCACCAATAATTTTTATTCTGCTCGCAGAATTCTGTACAAATTCTGCACAGATTCTGCCACTGCAGTGCCCTGGACACTCTAGTTCGAATTTTTTGCTTAACAATACTGATTTAACAATTTGTTAAATACATACATACTAAAAATAAAAATAAGAGAAATTAATAGTTTTAAAAATGTTTTATAAATACATAACTTTTGGACTTTTGACAAATAATTATACATATATCTAAGTATTAAAAAATGCTTTCTCATATTGCTTTCGTAGTTGTTATTACCACTGTGAAAAGTAGTCAACTATATTCGCAAGGTTTGGCCAAATACAAACTCCCCAATAAAATATTTCAAACAATTCAGTGAAAATATTTTTTTTCTATGAATGATCTACCACAAATGATTACAACCGACGATATCATATTTTTTTCAGAAAAATATATAATCGAAAATTCTGAACAGTGTTTTACTGTTTCATATGCAAGCATTCTTGGCACTAATCATGAATCTAATATTACCAATATTCCCAATATTTCTTTATATGTACCTCGCTGTATGTTTTCAGCATTTGTAACTCGTGCTTCAAAAAAAGTTGCAGATTTTATTCATTTCAGGGTAGAATGTCTTGAGTATAATTCAGTTACCAGTACAGCCAATGTTAAAATACAAATGACTGCCTTTTATCACTCTCAATCAACTAGATTTAAAAAATATTTAGATCCTTTAGGATCTTATATTAAATTAGATCACAATTATCTTATTTCAGATCTTATCAAATTTTCAACATCTGGAAAAATAATGATAGAAGTGACAGATATAGACTATTTAAAAACTTTGAATACGAATAATAATATGTTTGAAAGTTCTACTTCGACAATATCTAATACTAAATCAATAATTGATATCATTAGCGATGATATCAAATTTTCAGTTAAACCTGATACTAGTACCGCCTATAAAGATATTCAAGAAAATCAAAAAAAGGACAATCAGATCACAAAAATAAAGCAGTTATTAATTTAGACGAAGAAGATCATCAATCCAAGAGAAGAAAGTCTTAGAACGGTCATAAAAAAAATAAAACGATTAGTTGAAAATATGTATGCAGGTTTAATTGTTTCTAAAATAAAATATTTAATAGCTCATATACTAATACACATATAGTATAGTATAAATAGTATTTATGATTATCTCAACTGTATATTTTGGAATGTCCATAAGAGTTATTTCAAAACCAGATATACTATTTCTAGAGAACAAACTTTTCGAAATAGTGCCCAGACCATTATTTCGAAAATTTACAGTACGTTTACTTTAAAGAATTCAAGTACTAATAATACTTTATTGTTTTGTGTTTGTTATATGCATTTCATTCTGATGTTTAAGTTAAATTATTCTTTGAATATAATGCAAAATAAATATAAAAAATTTGGTACTAAACAAAATATAAATAGCAGACGGCAAAACGATAATGATAACTAATGATCGCAAGTTAACAATAACGATAATCTCAACTTTTTTAGCCAATAAAATACTTCTGGCCCATCAGGTGGCCCATGGGCCAGACCCGACTCTGCCTGACCTTGTGATCGATATGACCTGACCTGGGTGGCCCACAGGCCATGCCGGCTTAATCGATATTTGATGAACTCAATTTGGATAAGTGTTACATACTATCGAAACGACTAGAATATTGGTTGTATGCATGATGAATTACATAATAATGCAATTATCGGGAGTCAAACTCGCCAATAAAAATTTACTTCCAGGTTTTCACTCTCACACACTTAAATAATAATCAACAAATTTATTAATCATTTTAGAATTTACTATAATTGGTTGATTTATTTTGAATATAAGATACGTATAATAATTATTAGTTATGTACGTACATACATATGCAGTATGTACGTTAGATCACTCTATGAAACCTTTTTTTAGCTTTTTAGTTAGTCTCTTATCTAGATTTATGAAATATTTTGTGCTTCTTTTAGTTTTTACTTGATTTTTTACGAGACATATGAATTGATTTAAATAAGAATATTTCATTATCAATAATTGGTATTTCGCTGCTCATCATATCTAATTATTAGTTTGGAAGAGGTGCAATTTTTAATAGTCATTGTACTCTTAAATCTTTCATTAGATTTAATTTATTCATATCAATTTATTCATATCAATTTATTCATATCAATTTATTCATATCAATTTATTCATATCAATTTATTTATATCAATTTAGCGATCTATATATTTTTCAAATTGCATTATACTCTTTATAAATTAATTGATAAAATCATGTGAAACTTACCATTTTGTAACAAATAATGAATTTTTTTAGATAGCTGTGAGACATTATCGTGCAAATCAGGAACAAATCTCTAAAAAAAAAAAGAATTAATTATAAATTTGACTGTTAAGATGGTGAATTTGTGTCTAACCAATTACTTTACTTTTCAACTGATTATTTTTTCATCTATCAAATCAATCAATGTGATATTTATTTATACTGATTTTAGTATAGATATGCAATATATCTGTCAAATCATTATCTAAGTGCACAATATGATTTTTATTTTCTTCAATGAAGTTAATGTCACTCCCATGTGCTGTTATTGTGTGAGTAACATTAGCTCTCGTATAATTGTTGTTTCCACCTCTACAGTAAATATCTATGAGCATGGATAGATTATTTTAGTTGATCTCTAATACTCACATAATACAGTAATAAAATAATCTTATTTATTATACAGTAGACTAATTTAATACAAATTAAATGAAAATAATCAGTTTATTTTAAATACTTTGACTATACTGTAAATTACAGTATTATAATATTTTGATAAATGACTATTAACTATAAATAAAAAGAAACTAAATAAGATTATAAGCTATGTCAATGTGAATAAGAATAAATTAAATGAGAAGTAAATATTATATGAATGACACCAAGAAAAATCCAGACTTCGATCATATAAATTGTATATAAACCAAGTTTGGTTTTCCCTCGGTATCATTAAATAAGTGTCAGCTTACCTTTGAATAACCGATTGAAATAGCAATTAAATCAATACAAAAAAATTAAATGTAAACAAATTAAGTGTTAACTTATCTTTGAATCTTATCTTTGAATAATTCAATTGATCAACATAAAGAAATTGAATAAGAAATTATCTGCATTGATTAAATTCAATACAAATAATAAAATATATAAACATAATAACTTGTCACTACACTTATTGAATTAATTGGTGAAATACTTATGTATCAATCAGGTCATGAGCACTAATGTCGTATCTACTAGTGATGCTGAGATAACCTTTTAACGGCACTATGTTTTGGTTTTATCATGTGGTAAAACTGATTTTAATATTTATCGTAGGCTAAAACCATTAAAATAACATTAGTTATAACTAATGATAAAATATTGATCAAAAATTAAACTATCAAAATAACATAATGTTAATAAATAAAACTAACGTTAAAACAAATAATTTAATAATTCTTACTTATTCAACATGTCAAATAATATTAATAACGATCCAATTGTTACAAGTAATACTGATGATTGTTCAATTTCATCCTCTTTTTTAATAAATAAAAAATCTGGTGGCCGGCCTCAAAAAGAAATATAGGATGACTATAATATTGATAAAAAAAAATGAAAAATACTATTTTATTTGATGTAAATATTGTTCTACACAATGGCAAAGAGAAATACCAGCCAATATAGAATCATATTTGGCTAATGAATGTTCTAGTTGTCCATGATACAAACAAAAATATTGGCAGGATAAAATTGATAATCAACGTAATAATTATCAAAGAACTTCTAAAACAAAATGTCACAAATCAATATATCTGGATAATACAAATAATTCAGAGTCTCTTACAAATGATTTAGAGTCTCTTTCTATAGATCATCAAAATTCACTTGACTGTGCTGTATTAAAAGCTTGGGTTGGATGTGATATATCTTTTGAACTTATTAAAAACCGATTTATTTATACAACTTAATCCTGCATATCACCCACCTGAATATACAATATTATCTGATTGAATTCTTAAGGAAGAAGCAATAAAAGTTGACAATGAAATTTCTACAATTTTTAAACAAAATAAGAATTTAACTTTAAGTAAGTAAATTAATTAAAATTATTTTATAAAAATAATATATACTGTATATATTTATTAATTTATTTATTACTATATTAGCATTAAACGGATGATCTTCTCCTCAAGGTTCATCAATATATAATTATATTATTACTACAATTGATCGTAAGAAATATCTTGTTGCATTAAAAGATTATTCTAATAATTCAAATACTGGAAAATTTCTAGTATCTGAAATAAGTATAATAATAACCTCAATTGGTCTTGAAAAAATTGCTGCTGTTATAACAGATTCTGAAAGCAATTGCAGAGTTGCACGCAGAATTACAAATAATAATTATCCACATATTTTAGATATAAGATGTATCACTCATTTGATCAATTTAATTGCAGAAGATTTTGCTAAAATTACACATATTAAAATATTTATAGAAACTTGTGGACATGTAACACAATTTTTTAATAAATCACATTTACCTAATTAATTAATTGAAGATAGAATTTGTAAAATAAAAATCAAGGGTGGTGGATTGCAAACTTGTACTAAAACACAATGGTGTTCTTTATAGAATA